GAGTCAAGCCTGCTAGTGTGGGTAGGGTAGAGCAAATGCACGAATAAAAATGACTGCACGTGTAAACCCAGTATTGGGACAGCATGAAATTATCTTTCTGCTAGAACCAAAGAGAACATGGAAAAGTGGAGTCAAGCCTTTTCCTGACTCTTTGCTGAGGTTCAATGCTACAGCCATTCCCATGCAAGGAACATAGCAAACCTGGAATTACCTTCAGAAAGCATCATAAAGCCGTAGTGAAGAAGAAAGAGTTTGGAGGTCAACACTCATCATTATCCACCCTTTGAAGATTCACCGAGCTCACCAAGTGTCACATACATATGCAGTTTAACATCCATGGTAAAGAACCAAAATACTGAAGGATCATAATTACAAACGTCTCACCAGAACTAGTAGAGTCCTCATGTCTAGAGGGGAAAATTAAAACAGACACTACTATTTCTTCACCGTGATAAATGAGAATGCAGAAAGTAACAGTGAAAATGATGGATGTTTTCAAATCCATCTTACTTAAATTATTATTTAAAATTAGTCTAAGGAAACATCACCGATATATAACTCAGACTTCTGGTAAGAGGCTCTATCTAAATGCAGAATCATAAATTATAAACAAGCATAAGAGTATTGGTTATCAAATACTCTACATGAGTAATTTTTATTCATATTAATCATGGCTATAAGCCAAAGTAAGGAAAGAAAGAAGAATTAATGGAAGAAACACTTGTGGCATTTATTTGATTTTTGAGAAAAGAAAATACCTCTCAGTAATACTCATAAAGATGGGTCTCTCCAGTAGAGTTTTGTAAAGAATAGAGTTTATAGTTGGGGGGGTGGGGTGTGGGTGCTGTTAATAACTGAGAGGACACAGAATGATAAGCCAACTGAGCTAGTGAGACTGCTCTCATAACCGTAATCCAACCCATTTGATAACATCTTCTTCCATTTCCATTACTTCATCATCACTCATTGCATTATGTCTAAACATAGACTATAAACTCTTCATAATTTTGTTTGTAAAGCATTATGCATATTTACGGAGCTATCTAAATAATCTTAAATTAAGTTATGAGACCAACCAAAGACTGGGGGAGAGCCAAGTCATGCCCTCATACAAAGGGCTGCCAGAAGAGCAAGGATAAGCTAAAGTGCCCAAAAGACGCAAAACTTGTCTTTGACACACATTTGTTTTAGAAGACAAGAAACAAGAATTGAGGGATAGAGTTTAGACCAACAATTAGAAACATCTGGTAAATTCAAGGAAGTGACAGCAATAGTACATCATCATCAGATGTATCAAATAAAGGGTCATCTGAGTACCAACCCGTGTTCAATACTCCACACTGTGGTGGAAACAGTTCTGCCCATACATCCCCCCAAAATCCTCTCCAAAGAATGTGAAGAGGCTGAGCATGAGATGAGTATATGCTGACTTTGACAGTGTCCTGTTGTTATGGGTTTTTTCAAGGGACAACATTGAACACAACATCCAAAACGAGCCGCACAGCAAAAATGCGTGCCTCTGATGTGGTGGTGTTTTGGGAAGCAAGCACAGACCTGTGCAGTGAAAATCCTCCACATTTTATTATGAAAAAAAAATACTATTCAACTATTATTTTAAAGCAGTTTTGTATTAGCGGTAGAACAGATCCTGCACCTCATCAAAGTAGTCTCTGTATTCAAATGGAGGATTGAAAAACCTAAATCTTTCCATGTAATGCTGGGGGTGGAAACATATGATTTGCTTTGGCATCTCCCACTAACTACTTCATGGCAAAATACCATTGGAATGTGCAAAATGTAAAAATATTAAAAGGAAGGAATTAAACCTGTGCCTTGAGAAAGGACTTAACCTTAAAAGGACAGAACATTAAAGCCGTTTTGGGAAACTAGTGAAGAGCATTTGCAACTATACAGCATTAACAGTTTGTGTCGTGGCTTAACCCCAGCCAGCAACTTAAGCACTATGAAGAAAACTAATTCTATCCCAGCCAAAACCAGCGCAGTTTGGCAGGAAACCATGGTTAAAGGATGGCTTACTGCCTTGAAAATATTTTTGTTTAAAAGAACAATTGTCATGGTTTAACCCCAGCTGGCAACTAAGCACCACACAGCCGCTCGCTCACCCCTCCCCAGTGGGATGGGGGAGAGAATCAGAAGAGTAAAAGTGAGAAAACTCGTGGGTTGAGATAGAGACAGTTTAATGGGTAAAGCAAAAGCCGTGCACACAAGCAAAGCAAAACAAGGCATTCATTCACTACTTCCCATCGGCAGGCAGGTGTTCAGCCATCCCCAGGAAAGCAGGGCTCCATCACGCGTAACGGTTACTTGGGAAGACAAACGCCATCACTCCGAAGGTCCCCCCCTTCCTTCTTCTTCCCCCAGCTTTATATGCTGAGCATGATGTCATATGGTATGGAATATCCCTTTGGTCAGCTGGGGTCAGCTGTCCCGGCTGTGTCCCCTCCCAACTTCCTGTGCACCCCCAGCCTACTCGCTGCTGGGGTGGGATGAGAAGCAGAAGAGGCCTTGACTCTGTGTAAGCACTGCTCAGCAATAATGAAAAACATCTCTGTATTATCAACACTGTTTTCAGCACAAATCCAAAACATAGCCTCATACTAGCTTCTATGAAGAAAATTAATCCTATCCCAGCCAAAACCAGCACAACAATTTAAGTAATGAATTTGCATGTGTACACGTACATAAAAATACACAAGTTATATATAACCTGTAGTTTTCCCATATTTGCTCCAAAGATACGGGCAAGCGAGAAACCTCCGTTCCCCTTAGGTGTTATCTGGCCAAAATGCTTGCGAGTCTACCAGATGGCTCTGGTAAGGATCAAGAAGAATTTTATAAGCCTCTATCAATTTGCATTTTACCAAATCAAACTGAGAATTCGCTTGTTGCGTTATTTGAATTAAAACAGCGACATTTGCCTCAGAACTCATTATCAGTCACTCTCAGAAGAGGGATGCTGTAGTAGATGGATAGGAGGTTTGATCAAGCTTAGTAACTCCTACAGATGAACATGCACTTCCTTTAAAAAAAAAAAAAAAAAAGCCAAATTTGATATGTGGAGAGTTAGAGAACTTGGAAAGAATAGGATGCAAATTGCAAATTGCTGACATTTTGGAGAAGCAGAGCACTGGCAACACCCATCCTGCTAAAAGATTTTAAGAAACCTGAAAGCTCCCAAGAGCAACAGAATATCCACTGCTCTCATGTTCCACCACAAAAACAAAACCCTGCCACAAAACATACTGTGACAAATCAAATGTGCTAAACTGCAGATGCTACACTTATTTTGTGCACAGGACAGAAAAATGCCATTTTGTATTAGACAATGCATTGTTTCTGCAGAGAGCCCCATGTGCTTTATCACCATTCATAAACTTGTCCTCACAATGCCCTATAAGGTAGCGAGCCATGACCATATTCTCCTTGTTCTACAGTCATTTTCCATTTCCATAACACCATTCTTTCTGTTAAGTCCCTAATTTATACAGCAAACCATTGGTATTGCCTCAAAGCCAAAGAACTATATTTAGTGGAGGTTTATTCCAACGGATCCCAGTGCAAGGTTAACAGCTTTCACCCTCTTTCTTTATATAGGGAGGCACGCAAATACAGTAAGAAATTTTCCAGGCAGAAGTAGTCCACACAATTTTTCAACAACCATATTTAGATGACGTCTTTAACCTCTTTCTTTGAAATGATTTTTCCCATGAAATAAAGTTTTCATCTCTGTATGTGTTGAAAAAAAGGAAATAAATATTAGCTTTTTAAACCGTACCTTCCATGACATACACCAGGGAACCCACATCTCCTTCCTTGATGATGCAGCTGTCTTTGCCATACTCCACAGGATACATACAATCCACAATCTCCTGGATCTGAGACAGTTCCAGATTCTTCATGAAGTCATTGTCAAGGATCGCTTCCTTTATTAGCTCCTTGGACCTGCAGCAAAAAAAAGACAAGATTTATCCACGTGTCTATCCGCTGAGCTCACGAATAGCAAGTGAATTTTAGCACAATTGCACAGTGCCCCAATGAATATTTCCTTGGAAAAAAATTTCAATATTTTCCCTAAAAACATGATAAAGTCCATCTGCAGAGAAGTAAAAATTACAGAAATGTTAACTTGCAATTATTTTTTGTAAATAAGTTTTAGATACATCAAGTACTGAAATAAAAATAGATTTCATGTGATTGCAAGATCCTCTTTTAGCTACAAGTTTCACATCTATAATAACACCAAAGAATATCATAGCTACTTGAAATATCTTCCATATACAAAACTGAAAGGAAATACAAACAAGAAGTTAAACGATTCATGACTTAGTTTATTATATTTTCTATTAAATTATACAAACTGGAGCACACAAAAGCGCAATACTGCACTGATTCTTTGAGTATTAATCAAATACCAAAGGCCATTATATTCACTAGAGGAGGCACCACTGTTACAGGAATAACACCACAATTAATTCATTTCTTTGATGACTAAATGGAAAATTCCGAAGTTATATTAGTGTGCATAGAATTATACATGCCATTTTGGTTTGGCATGCGATCGAGTTGGAAGTCTGGAGTTCTTACTAGCCACTTTGCAAAGTTGTGTAAGGAAGGAGTTGTTTCCGAAGATACAGATTTCAGAACTCAAAGTTCATGCATTCTCTGGGAGACTATCCAAATGGGTATGTAATACAACCTGCTATCTCTAGAAGTGCCTCTGCCAGCATCATGTTATGACAGAAGATGTGCAACAAAACCACTGATGTGTTTTTCCTGATTTTCCTGACATTCTTTGAATTTCTACAACTAAAGTGCTCGCTACACAGTGAGTCACGCTCAGGTGAACCCTCCAATCTTCCCTTCAGACTGTGAAGTCCAACTTCATCCATCTGCTAATGCAGTGCAACCACCATGTTATGACATTTTGCAAAAAACTCCTAAAGCAGCTTGTGCAAATGAACAACTGAGAATGCTAAATCTAGATCTAGACCAAAACTAAAGCCCCTAAAACACCTACAGGCTGGACACCAGGTCCTCGGCCCTTTATTTCTCACTCTGCAGCTCCACTTCTGTGGGCTGAACTATTTGCTAATGTCAACATAGCCCAGGCAGATCACAGCTACCTGCAGAGCTTATGCATTCAAAAGAGTTTTATCTTTTTGAAATAGGAATATGAAACAAGGTTTTCAAAGAAAGATACATTAATGGATCGTGTCTTCTTGAAAAAGAGCCAAATTGGGACCTCAGAAGACCAAAACCAGCCAGACAGCCTTGGAGATACTATGCCTGTGCTATAGTCCTTTTAAAATATACCTCAAGGTTATATGCAGCACGGATTCAACTCGTTAATGTTTAAGGTGCTCTTTATGCATTTGATAGTTTTGCGGTTATTTCAACAAAACATGCTACTTTACATCAGAGTCCATCACTACTGACCCAGCTGAAGTGCAGGATGGGAAGCAGAACAGACTTTTCAAGTACTGTCTGCAAGACGACACAGACTCGGGCTGCTACAAAATCCTTTTGGTCTTGAGAAATTTAATTTGACTTTACATACTATCACTCCAATTCCTCGTGCATGCAAATAAAAACCACCAGAAAAACCTACATCTGTGTTGCTTCTTGCTTTCAGTAATGCAAGAAGCTGGTAATTTGTAAGGTTGACCAGATGGCAGATAACCTGCTTTCCTCATTCCCTCCTCCCGTGCTAGAGTGAGACCACGCTTTCGAGGCTATGCCTTGTCTCAGTACTGCTCTTTTGGTCTTAGCCACCCCCACAGGTCCCCCAAATCCTCCTAACAAAGGCACTAATTATTAGCATTACTCAAACCGCCTGCCAAAGAAGAAAGCATAATAAAAGCTTTTGCATTAGTCATATCAACTTAGCATTACAATTTCAGCCATTTATTTCATTCCAAGGCTCAAAATGAGGCTTTCTTCTTGATAAAATAAAGTCAGCTTTTCAAATGGAGTGTTTGTAAGAATATTCACAAGAGACCATGGCTCAAGTCAGACCTCCCCTGTTAACTTAGAGGCCCTCAGCAAAAAACAATGCTTTTCTTGTCGGGATCGAGCACAGCGAAGGATCTGAAAAGGATCCAGCAAACTTGGTCTAAACGACAGCGAAGGAGCAGCACAGGGGCTAGGAAAATCCGTTAGAAGTCTATTTTGGGGAGAAGCAGCAAAACATACACAGCATGAACAAACTTAGGGAATTTATGAGCTTAATAGTATTATTACAGTCTAAGAGTACATCTGAACCAACTGATTCACAGCCTCTGCCCTTCAGCATAGAATATCAGAGATATTAAAGCTCAGATGTCCACCAAGTCATTCAAACCCTTTTAATGACAATATGAAATACACCCATCACGAGGAAAAACAGGCCGGCCGGGACACCAATAATGCAGTTTCATCTCTGCCACATCTAAGCATCTTAAAATTAAATATCTCTGTAGAATGGTCTGGATAATAACTCAGTCATGCTTGAATGTAACCAAAATAGATATTATTTAAGGATAATTAGTTAAAATGAAACTTCAAACACAAAGAGCATAGCGTGAGAGAAAAGCACCTCCAGCTGCCCATAAACAGTGCTGGCTGCAGGAACAAGCACCTTGCAACCCAAACTGCATATTTATGAGCATATTCGCATCAGACTAATCCACGCTTCGCAGTTTGTAAGCTACAAACCTTTTCATCAGGAAATATTCCATCCATCTTTGAACAAAAGAAATAAAAAGCTTAGTTTGACATAGTTGAAAATTAGTTGATACTAAAAATACATTGTCATAGCTACAATAAGAGGTACTCTATTGTTCCCTGCAAGAGAATATTCGTCACTCTAATAATTCAAAAAAATTATTCATGCAATGTAGATTACCATGCCCACATACTTGCACATGCCAGGCCTTCAGCAACTTCTACATTATTTTATTATGCAGTTTTCTTTCAATATAATTCAGAGGTGCAATTTCAGGTAAATTGATTTTTTAAAAATACTTATTTTTATATTAAATGAAACTCAAAGCGTATAAATTAACTTATAGTTCACAATTATTCCATAACAAATGCTTTTCTAAACCACACCATTCTTTAATCATCATCATTAGTACTTTAAAAACAGCATCTGTCCCAGACGTGTGAATACACAAATCTACCTAGTAACACAAAAAAGGTATTTAAAATGGTCAAAAACACACTCCTGCTCTTACAAGTAAGTGGTTTAAACAAGATACAGCTGTTTCATTACCTCTTATTTTCAAATAGTATTTATTCTGTATTTTCTGATTCAAGTTTCTAATAGAAACAATCTGCAAACAAAATCAACTACAATATTTGTAAGGGAACAGGACTATTTCCAAATGACCCTGTTTTAAGAAGGGTGCATTTTCATGGATATTTACTTAGCGCTGAATTGAACGGCTCCTAATGCAGAGGGTCATTCAGAGTAGAAAGTAGTTGTCATCTTTACTCTCCAGAGGTAGGAACCTGGCACTAAGCCATCACTATTTTTCTGAAAGATTAATGATCAAATGCGATGGAGACTTGATGAACACTTAAAAAAGAAAAAAAGCACAATTCTCGGCAATACATCCTTTCTCAAATCAGTTTAAGTCCATCACAGTAATTAATAAGGCAACAGTAGGAACAAGCTAATTGCATTCTAATTTGCAGAAGTCATGCAAAAAGCACCTTAAGAAGTTTGCTAAAAATACACTTAATACGTAAAAACCTGTATACCTGGTTGCAAATGCCTCTCAGAACAAAGCATATAAACATGCGTTAATTCACACACCTCCTAACCCTGTCCTGGGGGCTGCTCCGGTCCTCCAGCCAGATCAGAGCCAGCCACCAACCCCCACAACCAGCCAGCATGACAGCTCGGGAGCAGCAAAATGCCTGGAAAAAAAATTCAGACATGTTTCTGTTTCTGCAGCAGACAGGGGCTCTGCACAGAAGCAGTGTTTCAGCTGTGCTGGAAAAGGCTTGTATTAAAGGTTTGCCTTATTGCAGTGGCCATAAAATGCAGAATTTGGCTGAGCATTTTGCTCAAAACCCTGCTGCTAACATCCGCTGGCTACTCATCAAGCTTGAAGGCAGAAGATAAAAATTTTGGTTTGTAGCAGATGTGAAAAAACAACCTGAGATGTTAGGCAGTCCTAGATAAGAAGCAAAGTTAATGCTACAGTGGATTGCAATGTACATCGTAAAATACCAAACCCTGTATTACAGCCTGTTGTTATCCTGACAGTAATTTACATTTTACAAAGAACAGAATGAATAGTCATCTCAGGCTCTTCACCCACAGCAAAAAAAACACGTTCTCTATGCTAGATTTGTACCTTCTGGCACGTATGATAAATATTAGAACAAAAAGTTAATCTTCATCCCAAAAGGTCTTATTTCAACATCGGAAAAGCTGCTTGCAGAGTTTAAGGAAGGGAAGAATTTAAGTGCAGATGGAAAGACTACTGATGTGTATACATCTAGTGACACTTACAGAAATGCAAAGCCCTCCTTGACACATACCACACTGGTACAGCATCAGTTTGCAATGGAGTTTGCAGGAACCTGAGGTTCAAAGGGAGCTGCAGTAGCTACACAGGTATCATTCTCAAGGTAATCTACTGCTGGCAAGAGCTGATTAAACAGAGGTGGATCAAGAAGAATAAAAGAAATTAAGAGTTCAATCTAGACAACGCTGACACAGAGCAGTTGGAAACAGATCTGAATTTTATGGTGTTCACAAGTATACCACCACAGCTATATACCAAAACCATTTTAAACTATCAGGCTGGAGCAAAGCAAGAAAAATGAAAAGCAATGTACAGGCTGGAAGATGTCTCAAAAAAAGGGAAAGAAAAAGTTAATTTTGTATTAATAGTCAAGAAGAAGAAAAAAAATACACAAGACCTTTTCTTTAGCTGTTCCTCTCTCCAAACTTTAAATAAAACTTTTCAATATGAACTTTTATGCCAATACTAATGGCGGGGCAGGGAGTATTTTTTCCAGAGCCTCCCTCATCAAGAGTCTGCCAACTACTACTAATGACCTAAAGCCCTGCATTTGGGAGGGAAACATCTACAGGAATTTGACCAAGCAGAGAGACAGTGTTCACTGCCAGGACTGAAGTTTAAAGCAGTAAAAGTGCAGCTCCCTGGGAGATGAGAACTCCTTATTTACTTATATGATAAACCTCGCTCAAAGCTACCACAACCAGTAGCATCTTTTTTTGTGCTCTTTTATCATTGCTGTAAAAATCCAAATTAAATACACATGTACATCCTTAAATCTATCCACCAACTAAACCTATCAAGTGTATTTGTAGAAATTCATGCCCAAGCACTCCTTTTTTGGAAGCTTCCATATCCATATCCCTCCACAAGGAATTAAGCTGATTTCAGTAGATTAAGAAACATGGAAAAAAATCCGCAGCCTCTGACCCAGAATATGATGAGCAATACAAGAGTCCAGACAATTTCTACAATAACCATCTGTTTAAAATCCACACCGTGAAATGTTTAAAAGTGTTTACTTCTACAAAATGTGGC